GAGGCTTTGTGAACTTTTATACACTTAGTGAGAGTATCTAATTCCTTCTATCATCTGTCCTCTATCTATTTTCTATCATCTATCATCTATCTATGTTTACATTTGGATGTATTTTTACATGTTTGACATTTCTGTATATTTTGTGAGAGTATATTTTCAAACATAGTTTAATAAGCTATTAGGTCAAACTATTGCAAGTGATAAAAATGTAATTGAGCAAACATAATATGTGAGCCTGGAGCACAAAAGCAGTGTTAAGTCGCTGGGGTATATTTGTAGCAATAGCCAACAATACATTGTATGGGTCAAAATTATCGTTTTTTCTTTAATGCCAAAAATCATTAGGATATTAAGTAAAGATCGTGTTCCATGAAGATATTATGTAAATGTCCTACTGTTAATATATCAAAACTTAATTTTTGATTAGTAATATGCATTGCTAAGAACTTAATTTGGACAACTTTAAAGGTGATTTTCTCAGTATTTTGATTTTAAAAAATTTTGCACCCTCAGATTCCAGATTTTCAAATAGTTGTATCTCGACCAAATATTGTCTTATCCTAACAAACCATGGAAAGCTTATTTATTCAGCTTTCAGATGATACAATTTCAAAAAATTGACCCTTATGACTAGTTTTGTGGTCCAGGATCACATATAAAAATTTAACTGTGCATATAAATTGAGCCAAAAATAAAAAAAATTCCCTAAAAAAGTATGGCCTTGTTTCAAGGTCATATCCCCAACACACACAAATTTATACTATGTTTAGATAATAAACACTCTATTTGAGCATAAATCTGTATTATTTGTTATTATTATTATTATTATCACTTATATTATATATTTAATTCAAGATATACACTGAAACCGACAAATGCATCCCTCCTTTCTCCACATTTCTGAATGCACCAGTGCATATGTCAGAATCTAACAGTAAATATGAGAGACGTCGATATCTCAGCACGCTATAAGCAATGGAGGGCATTTCTGCTGATCAGCAGCATTGCAGACAACAGCAGCCGTCTCTGCTGAGGCAATGAAGTTTCCACCAGGTTAAATCTTCCCCCAGACATCATCGCTATGGGCAGCTGAAAATATATGTGCAAATAAAAAAATAAATATATAAATAGACCAGACAGCTCTCAACTCTGGACAAATAACATATTTCATGGATTTTCTTTCATTCCTCTTATTATACGGCCACAGTTCTCTCATATCGCTCTAATTGTCTCCTTATTTCAAATCATTTTTAGTGAGTCAAATTAAGATCAGCTTAAGTGAGTATTTACAACAGGAACAGCTTCTTGTGATGCTTCTCGTGATGTTATGAATACATGACAGAGATTTAAACAATACATCATGATGTTTTATGTCCACTCTGAGAAGTGGGTGTATTTTGTTGACGTGACAGAATGTATGAGTAGATGAGTAGAGAAGAGGACATTCAGTTAGGGCTTATATGTTTTATGTGTTCGTTTAACCACTCACAGTGAGATAAGCAATGAAAAGATGAATGCAGGCATCAGAAAAGACCATAAAGGAAGCCAGTATGTCTCTGTTCACATGTGCAGACATACAGACTTACTCATGCTCATTTACACACTGCAGAGGAATACTATGGAAGAAGTCTAATTCATTTATGAACAACTGAAGTAATGAATGTCATTCATGCACACACACACACACACTTGGAATATTTCAAAGGTGAAAAAAGAAGAGAATAGTTTACATTTCTAGAGAAAAAGTTAAATTGAAGGTGAGGACAGCTTTGAAGCATTACAGTCCGCTTTTGGCCTTTGTCTCATTGGGTCAAATGCTGGTGCCAATTTTCTCTCAGATGGGTAATTTGTCATGCATGGTGCCTCATGGCAGGGATCCCAGTATTGCATTCTCGCAAATTCAAGGATCATTAGAAATACATTTAGGCATTTTCCTAGCATAGTGAGACAGTTTTCGGTAACAAAGGCTGCATCCAGATAGCATCACTACTTAGGGCCCATTGAGTGGCTCATCAACCGCCATTGTAGGTGCATTTCAGTAAGAACACCTATTATTCCTGCAAGTCCGACCTTGAAAAAAATCTCATATTCCATTCAAATTCTATGTGTTTTAACTTTATAAAGCCTACTGTATCATATGTGATACACAAAACTCTGATGCCTTCTAAATGATCTGTATGACTTTGTACACAAACTACTACATGCCTCCTGTCGTCTGATTGATGGTTTATACTGTATATATTTAAGGTCTCAAATTCTGAAAAGTTCCCCCTTCAGGTTTTGGTATGCAAGCCCTTTTGCTGTGAAATATTTAATGATTTTCATAAAGTACAGTACATGTAAGAATACATTTTATATTATTAGTAGTATTTAAATTTGAGCACTTACTGGACTGAAGCAAGGTTTACTTGATTATCCATTCATCATATTTTTTTAGAAACATCATGTTATAATCAAATACATATTTTGAGGAATGTTTATTAGTACATCTCTTAATCGTTATTGTATTGCATTGCATTATCTATTTTTCCCCTTCCAAAATTAAAACTACAGAGCTTTGATAATAAAACCAAGCTTCTCGTTGATTTGCATTGAATGTTATCAGAATTTCATCTTACTTTTTGGCTATATAAACTGCACCTTTTTTTCTTTCTTTTAATGGAACAGTTTATTGAACTGGAGGACCTTACAGGGTTATTTTTTATGTTTGAAGAATAATGTGTACATAGAATTATATACTGCATATGAGGTCCCGAAATGAAACAAATAATCATTTTAATAATCTTAAAGGCAATTTTAATAATGTAATCACACATTCATGGTAATATTTAAAATGATAAAGCTCTACCTTTTATCATTACCACTTGGGGAAATGACATGGGGAAATTTGTAAATGTATTAATATTTTCTATGCTAATGTCGGAAGAAAGATTAGCAACGGCATCTACCTTCATTATGTTACTGAAGTATCTGTTAAAAGGGTAAAACGTGTTGATACCTCAGACACATAGACATTTTCAAACAGATAAGCACCACGATGTGTATCATATAATATATAAACCAAATATCAATAATGAAAGATTGTCTTATTAGGAATCGTGCATTTTTGTTCCCTTGTAAATGGACACTCTCGATTGAAAGATGGAACATAAAAATTGAATGTGCAATAAAAGAAATACAAAGATACAGAAAATGCAGAAATAAAGAAACTGCTCTCACATGAAAAGCAACACTGAAAGAAATGAAGGAAACAAGTTTTATTGTATTGTTTTTATAATTACAATGCTTATTTTGAATGCTTAAAGATCATACTTTTGTGGTGGTGAAGTGCTTTTCAATCACAGCATGAAACTTTATTTTAAGGCAATTAAAATGTGATTCAGTTCCGAAAAACCACTTACAGCCATTAATCAAACGTTCATATCAAACAATACTGAGTGAACTACAGTTTGTGTCAATGCATTTGTGTGAGGTCAAGCAAGAAGGAGAAAATTAGTCCTTGCATCAAGGTCTCTGATAATCATCCTGCTCTTGAAACCCTGTAAACCTTCTTTAATAGAAGTGAATGTGTGCCTTGAAAAAATATGAAAGTGAACACTACATAAACTGTATAAATATTATAGTTATACAACAATTTGGCTGCAAAGTTGACAGCTGACAGCTGACAGCTGTCATATAATGCTATTATTATTTAAATGAGAAACTCTTAAAGGTGCAGTATGTAATTTTGAGCTAGTGGTTGAAATAAGTACTGCAGTCCAAATGTAAAATATTGTTTCTCCAGTCCCTCCTCCTCAGACTCCACGCTCACACGGGTTGCCAGATTGAGAACATGCAACAGGAACGAGCGCAACTGACAACTGAAGGCGACGAGCCTTACACTGTAAGTTGATTTATGCATGTTTTAATATTCCCTCTGGTCACAGAGACTTTTAGTTGGATCTCAAGACTTTTTAAATCGGGTAGAATCTGTGATTTCTGACACAGTTTGTTTGCTGGCTTCCATGGCTGCAGTACACTGGCAACCCGGGGTGTGGAAATCCTATTGGGTAAACTGGCAGTGGGCGGAATCACACAGACCAAAACAAAAACAGACATGGAAATGAAGGAAACAAGTTTTATTGTATTGTTTTTATAATTACAATGCTTATTTTGAATGCTTAAAGATCATACTTTTGTGGTGGTGAAGTGCTTTTCAATCACAGCATGAAACTTTATTTTAAGGCAATTAAAATGTGATTCAGTTCCGAAAAACCACTTACAGCCATTAATCAAACGTTCATATCAAACAATACTGAGTGAACTACAGTTTGTGTCAATGCATTTGTGTGAGGTCAAGCAAGAAGGAGAAAATTAGTCCTTGCATCAAGGTCTCTGATAATCATCCTGCTCTTGAAACCCTGTAAACCTTCTTTAATAGAAGTGAATGTGTGCCTTGAAAAAATATGAAAGTGAACACTACATAAACTGTATAAATATTATAGTTATACAACAATTTGGCTGCAAAGTTGACAGCTGACAGCTGACAGCTGTCATATAATGCTATTATTATTTAAATGAGAAACTCTTAAAGGTGCAGTATGTAATTTTGAGCTAGTGGTTGAAATAAGTACTGCAGTCCAAATGTAAAATATTGTTTCTCCAGTCCCTCCTCCTCAGACTCCACGCTCACACGGGTTGCCAGATTGAGAACATGCAACAGGAACGAGCGCAACTGACAACTGAAGGCGACGAGCCTTACACTGTAAGTTGATTTATGCATGTTTTAATATTCCCTCTGGTCACAGAGACTTTTAGTTGGATCTCAAGACTTTTTAAATCGGGTAGAATCTGTGATTTCTGACACAGTTTGTTTGCTGGCTTCCATGGCTGCAGTACACTGGCAACCCGGGGTGTGGAAATCCTATTGGGTAAACTGGCAGTGGGCGGAATCACACAGACCAAAACAAAAACAGACATTCTGACACAGAACGCACATTTAAAAGTAGAATAACTGGCCGTAGCATTGTTTTTCGGAGAAACAAGTATGTGAAACATGTTTCCTAAATATCTGCAAATCTATTATGGTATTTGTATGCTTTACTACAGTCAAAAAATGACATACAGCACCTTTAATTAAAGAAACGGGATCATTGGTTTATAGCTTTGAGACTGTTTGTCATGCGACACACAGAGGGAATTCACTAAGAAGGAACAGAACCAGCAGATGTGTTTATCTGCATCTAAAGGAATTATGCAAATCGAGTAATGGCTGGTTTTATGGCTGATTATAACGCTCTACTCCAATTAATCATCATTTGATAATTTATTGCTACCATGAACAGTAGAAAATGTAAACAAATGTCTGTTTTACATACAATTGTGTTTACAGCCAGCTTTCTACGGGCGATAATAGCGCAACGTTAATTGTACCAGTCACACAGCACTCATTTTTTGAATACACATGCTATAAGAAGCCTAATTTGCATAGAAGGGTGGTTTGCCAAGAAAAGAATGAATGTAAATGCACAATCTGCTTAAACTAGATTGCGGGTGGTTTGTGATTTTGCGCTGAAACACCATACGCTAATGCAACTGTTTAGTGAATTCGGCCCACAATGGTTCTGTTCTGCTGAACGTTAATGTGGATATGTGTTTTTGTGATATGTCAAAGTTCAGTCAACAGGTTCGCCCCAAAGTCACAGGATCACTCAGCAGATATTTTAGAAATCCCCATATCTGCAAAAGGAAGACACGGGAAAGAGAAGAATATGATGGGAAAAGGCAGGGAAGGACAGAGAGAAGCAGATGCATCAGTAAACTTTTCCACATCGAAGGTGACACTGTTGTTAAATGCAGAAGAAGTTTACAAAACTCTGGAAGGCACTTGCCTCTAAACACTCCTCTATCATGAATTAAAGAGAAGGAGTAGAGAAAGAAAGATGTGACTCACTCTTCCTCTGCCACGGGGGTGTTGTAGCTCTGAAAGAGAGGCTGAACAAAGAGTCCGAGTGTGCCGACGACACACACCAGGATAAAAATCCAGAGGAAGAGCCGGTCAATCACCATGGCTACGTACTTCCAGTCCTCAATGATCTGCAAGCAAAAAACGTACCTTAAACTTACATAAATATTAATTACCACTACATATATGCGTAGTCATGGGGGAGTATCATTAATGATTCTTTTAGTGTTTGATTTCAGTGGCAAAATACGTGATGATTCCAATAATAAATATTTATGACTTTTCAGTTTTTTTAGGCAGCATAAATTTAATCTAATAATTAGCATATTAAACAGCAATAATAAAGAAACATTTCATTCATTTATTATTTTTATCAAATTTATATCAAAATTCATAATATGCATCTTTAACTATATACAATATCACATAAACAACCAGTCAATAACTACACTTATGGTTAGTTGTAAGCTGTATGTGTTTGATTCACTAAAATGAACTGATTCTTAGGCCCGTTCACACCAAGCACGATTAACTATAAAGATAACGATAAAGATATAGTTCTAAAAATCATTCTCAATATTAAAGAATAGCATAGTTCACACCACAACTATAACGATAACGATACAGAAGAACGATATCGTTGCGATCACTTTCAAAATAATTTTTTTCCAGCTGATGAACGATGAAACACTGACAGCCAATCAGAATCAATCCTGCTGTAACGAGCTCAAGAATTTAAAGTGGCAGATGCATGTGCGCTTAGAATAAACAGACGATATCGTTCGCTGGTGTGGACGCTAATATCGTTATCTTTATAGTTATCGTTCTTGGTGTGAACGGGGCTTTAGAGTCATTTGTTCGGGAATCAGGCTATGCCGGTTGTGCTGCATGTTTTGTGATTCACTAAAAAGAACCGACTCATAAGAGTCATTTGTTCAGGAATCAGGCTACATCAGTTGTGCTGCATGTTTTTTTATTCACTAAAAATAACCAGATACTAAGAATCATTTGTTCAAGAATCAGATTACACTGGTTGCACTAAATGTTTTTTGATTCACTAAAAAGAACCGACTCATAAGAGTCATTTGTTCGGGAATCAGGCTACACCAGTTGCACTACATGTTTTTTGATTCACTAAAAAGAACCAGCTACTAAGAGTCAGTTGTTCAAGAATCAGATTACACTGGTTGCACTACATGTTGTTGGGTTCATTAAGACTACACTGGTTGTGCTAATGTTTTTTTTTTATTCATTAATTTTTATTCACTACACCAGTTCCTCTGCATGATTTTTGATTTACTAAAAAGAACCAACCCATAAGATTCATTAGATCAACAATTGTTGTGCTGTATGTTGTTGATTCACTAAAAAGACCAGTGATTCACTGTGTGCTATCTGATTAAACTCATCTACTCAAACTCAGTAATAAATTCATTCATTAAGTCAATTAGTCAATAAAATACAAAACCACATCTCACCCCTTCATCATCATCCTCAATCTTCATATGTTCAGCAACGAACCTCACACCCTCTATGGCCTCATCCACATCTTGGTCGTGCTTGACTTTCACTCTTTGCCTGAACTCTGACCCCTCAGGAAGGTCGCCGACCCTCCAGGCCCCACACACACGCCCAGGGTCATCACTTAAGAAGAATGAGTCTCCATCCAACCTTATGCCCTTCGCATCAGATGAGAATGATTTCCGTTGATGTTTCCGTCGAAACCTTTCCCGTACATTAGACCTTCCAGGCCGTCGCATCAGAAGGAAAGCAGGAAGCTTATGAAGGAACACACGCTTGACCCACTCGGGCATGTGGTGTGTCGATGGAGAACGGTGGTGCACGTTGAGCACACACACACTCGTCACAATAGAAAATGTGACCAGCACCATCGTAAACATCAGATACTTCCCTATTAATGGAACAGCCAATGATGTTGGCGGAACGATCTTGGATATCAGGAGCAGAAACACAGTAAGAGCCAGAAGAACCGATATACAAAGAGTCATCTTCTCTCCACAGTCTGAAGGGAGGTAGAAAACCAGAATTGCAAGAGAAGTGATGAGGACGCATGGAATGATGAGGTTAATCGTGTAGAAGAGAGGTTTGCGTCTAATCACAAAGTCGTATGTGATATCCAGATATGTGAGGTCATTGGGGTCTTCGTTTTTTCTGCCAGGGAGCGACACAATATCCCATTCGCCGCTGGGTGTGTAGTCATCTCGACTGGCAAAATCAGACGTCAAGACAAGATCGAGTTCTGTGCGGTCATAGGTCCAAGAACGGAATTTAAGCGTGCAGTTCTGTTGATCGAAAGGGAAGTTACGTACTTCTATAGCACAGGCGCTCTTGTAGATGGCAGGAGGGAGCCAGAATATATCACCAGTGTTGGAGACAACGGCATTGCAGTAAAATGATACTTCATATACACCATCAGCACTGTAAGAAAAAAGAATATTATACATATCAATCAGTTGTATTCTGTGTATTCCTAAAGAGCAAAATGGGAGTTACAATGGCAAAATGCATGCAGTTCTAAATGATATATCACCAGTGTTGGAGACAACGGCATTGCAGTAAAATGATACTTCATATACACCATCAGCACTGTAAGAAAAAAGAATATTATACATATCAATCAGTTGTATTCTGTGTATTCCTAAAGAGCAAAATGGGAGTTACAATGGCAAAATGCATGCAGTTCTAAATGCATTCTATATATATATATATTTTTTTTTTAATATTTATAAAATATTAATTTTGTATTTAAAATACATTATATATATATATATATATATATATATAATTTTTTATTTTATGCAAATATATTTATAAAAAAACAAATAAACAATTTAATGCAGTTCTAAATGCATTTGAATTATA